TTATATTTTCCAAAACCATCTGAAGTTTTCTGATGTCTTCTAACCTATTGCTTTCAATCTAGCAAAAGATGACAGTTTTCATATGAGTCAAAAGCAATGATTCACTGTCATGTCTGGTTTTATTTGATTAGTTTGAGCTCAGGAAACAATCTGAGATTTTCATTTCTATCACTGTACATAAAACTGATTAACAGGTACTTTTCAGTGATCTCACTGTCTTTCAGAATCACCTCTGTGTTCTTATAGTTTAAATAGTGCTATAATTTTAAAAGGAGTCTACCTTTCTTCTGGATTCTTTAAAAATCTCTAATGTTCTATCGACAGGAAGTTCATAGGAAAAATAGCTTTTTTTCTTTTATTCTCTCTGACGTGTTTTTAATGTGCACAAGTGTGTTAATGCTATGATTTATTGTCTAAATCAAGTTACAAACAAAGCCCCAAGAGTGACTCTTCTGTTCTTATTTCAGCCAATGTTTTAAAGGAATTAAACCTTTGGTAGATCTTGCTGCATGGTGATCATGTTTCTGTCTGTTATTATTGGCAGGACTGGAGCAGAGGCTGCTTCCCATGGATTGCTCATGGGTTTCCCTGAAAGCATCTAACACTTGCCCACTGTATAATGGGACAGTTACTTAGGTGGTTTCATTTGTTTTGTTTTCCTGGTTCATGCAGAGCTTTGAGTCTGCAGTCCTGGTTTATCTGTTAAACTGTGTATCTCTATGTTTCAAAATGCATGTATTAGTCAACATTTTGTTACTATAAAAAACACTGGAGGCACTCTACTCTAGAAAGAAAAGTGATTTATTTTGGCTTCTAATTTTGGAGATTCAAAGTCCAAAATCAGGTGAATCCTATTGGTTTGGCCTCAGGTCATAGCCTTATTGGTGGCGGTGTCCCAAAGCATTATATGACAAGAGAGAGGGAGTTAGTGTGTGTCTGTCTGTGCCCACCTATCTTCTTCTCTTCATTTAAAAAGCCTCCAGGTTTGAGTCATGGAACTGTTTTCCAGGAAGATTGCGTTAATTTATCTTCCATCAAAATTGTAAAAGGGTTTCCTTTTCTTCACATTTTTGTTGACCCTTGTTATAGTCTGTGTTTTTGATAATGGACATTATTACTGTAGTGTGGTGATATGTCATTGTGATTTTGATTTGCATTTTCCTGGTTATTAGTGATGTTAATGATATTTCATGCTAGCCTTCTGGTCATTTGTATGTCTTCCTTTGGAAAATGTCTACTCAGATGAATTTCCTACTTTTTAACTTTGCTTAGTTTTAGATTAACAAATTCAATGCAAGTTGTAGATACAATTCTTTTTTTTTAACTTTGATTTAATGAATATAAATTTCCAAAGTACAGCTTATGGATTACAATGGCTTCCCCCCCATATCGTCCCTCCCACCCGCAATCCTCCCCTTTCCCACTCCCTCTCCCCTTCCATTCACATCAAGATTCATTTTCGATTCTCTTTATATACAGAAGATCAGTTTAGCATACATTAAGTAAAGATTTCAACAGTTTGCTCCCACACAGAAACATAAAGTGAAAAATACTGTTTGAGTACTAGTTATAGCATTAAATCTGTAGATACAATTCTAAGACAAGAATCATAATGCCTCCCTCTCTCTCCCCTTCCTCCCACCTTCCTACCTTTCCCCTTTCTTTCTTTTTTTAGAAAACATTTTAAATTAACATTGCAGTAAAATACTTACTACTTCACCAAATAAGAAGTTTAACAAGTAAAAAGCAAAATGACCCTAGTTTATTGAAAATAGAGACAATGACTATAAATAATAACTGAATGGAAAAATGGCCATTTCACCCATATACAGTAAATTTTAAAGTAAACATAGATCATTAAACCTATAGTAGCATAACACTTTTTTTTTTTTAAAAAAAAGGTTTATTTATTTATTTGAAAGACAAAAGTATAGAGAGGCAGTGACAGAGAGATTGAGAGAGAGAGAGAGAATCTTCTATCCCTGGTTCACTTCCTAAATGGCCACAACACCCAGAGCTGAGCGATTGGAAGTCAGAGGCCTGGAGCTTCTGGGTCTCCCACGTGCATGTAGGGACCCAAGAACTTGGGTCATCTTCTGCTGCTTTCCCAGGCACATTAGCAAGGAGCAGGATTGGAAGTGGAGCAGCTGGGACTTGAACTGGTGCTCACATGGAAAGCTGCTGCTTCAAGCAGCTTTAGCCCCTATGCCACAGTGCTGTTTGTCAAAGGTATAGAACACAGTTGTTTATTTTAAGTGGATTATTTATCCCTGTGATATCGAGTTGTGTTCCTTATATATTCCCTTTACTAATTCTTGTTAGATATTATATAGCTTACAAATCTTATCTCTTTTTCTGTAGGTTGTCTCTTCACTCTGTTGATAATTTTCTTTGCTGTGCAGAAGCTTTGTAATTTAATGAAATCCTATATGAGTGATTTTGCTTTTATTGCCTTGCTGTCAGAGATATATCCATAAAATCCTTGTTCTGAAGCATTTCTGCTATGCTTTATCTCAGCAGTTTCATATCTTATAGTTAGGTCTATAATCCATTCTGAGTTGGTTTTTGTGTATGGTAGAAGTTATGGATCCAATTTCATTCTTTTGCATGAGGATACCAGTTTTCTCAGCATCATTTGTTGAAACAGCTGTTGTTTCTCCAATGGTCTATACTGAGTACCTTTATAAAAGACCAGTTGGCTGTAAATTCACAGCTTTGCCTCTAGGCTATTTATTCAGTGATTTTTCTACCTTCTGATATTTCTTTTTTACTTCTTAGTGTCCTTTTCCTTCAGTTTCAACAACTCTCAATAGTATATCTTAGGAGACAGTTAAGTTTATGCCAGAAAGTCTGCAGTCACATGAATTGGGACACCTTTAACTGTTATTTGTTTCTTTTCTTTAGCAATTTTGAGAATCCTCTCTTAGTCTTTAACCTCTAAGAGCTTATTAAGACATATTTGGAAGTTAACTTCACTGAGTTGAGTCCAACCAGTGACCACTTACTTTCCTGCATCTGCGAAGTTGCTTTTTTTTTTTTCTGTTTAGGAAATTTCGTGTTGTCATCTCTTTGAATATGCCTACTACAGCTTTGCCCTTCTCAAGTTCCTCTTGAACCCGAATAACTCAAGTATTTGCTTTTTTAAAGAAAAAAAATATATATTTATTTGAAAAGTAGAGTTAGAGAGAGAGAGAGAGAGAGAATCTTTCATCTGCTGGTTCACTCCCCAAATGGCCACAGTGGCCAGATCTGGGCTGATCCAAAGCCAGGATTGTCCTCTGGGTTTCCAACATGGGTGCAAGGACCCAAGCATTTGGGCCATCCTCCACTGCTTTCCCAGGTCACTAGCAGGGAACTGTATCAGAAGTGGAGCAGTCGAGACTCAAACCAGTGCCCATATGGTATGCCAGTGCCGCAGGCAGTGACTTTACCTGCTATGCCAGAGCGCTGTCTCCAAACATTTGCTCTTTTAATGCTGCCCCAAAGTTCCCATAATCTTTCTTCATTCTTTGACATTCTTTCTTTTTTTCTCCCCCAAACTATATATTTTAAAATAGCCTTTCTTCAAACTCAGTAAATATTTGTTCTTTTCAATCTAGCCTGCTGTTGATGGCTTCTTTCACACTTCAAATTTTGCTTAGTGTACTTTTTAGCTCAGAATTTTTTTTTTAATTTTTAAAAGTTACTTTCACTTCTCTGTTAAGTTTCTGTTACAATCTTAAATTGTTTCTCTGTATTTTCGTGAAGTTCACTGAGTTTCCTTAAAACAATTACTTTGAATTCTGTACCTGAGAACTTGCATATATCAGCTACTATCTTAGTAGTTTCTGGCACCTTATTTTGTTCCTCGTTGAGGTCATGTTTCCCTAAGAGCTCTCTATGCCTGCTGACATACAATGTCATCTGAACATTGAAGGCTTAATACATTTTCAGGATTCATAATGTGATTATTTTGTGTCAGCTTTCCAGAAATCTAAGCAGTCTGCTATTTTCTCTGACTCTTGGCTATTTCAACACTAAGTAGAGCCCTACATTTAAACTTGTTTCAAGTATGCTGTTGGAGTGTTTTGACTTTTTCAGCACTATAGGGTACCCTTCTCCCAGGTTTGTCCCAATTCCAGAGTTAGTGTGTTATTTATGAATTGAGGAGAAAGTGTCTAAAAGGGGGCAGCCCATTCTTGCAAGCATATTTCTAGAGCCTGGGTTGACCAAGACACCTTATCTACATTCACTGGGCTGTTGTGAGGCTCCAAAAGAATCTGCCTGATTCTGGGCCACAGAACCAATCCAAGTTTCTTATGCAAAGCCATTCCTTTTCCTTGCCCAAGTGAACAATTGTTCTGCTTGTGTTGTGCAAATGGGTTTGGAGAGAAATAAGTTGGACAGTCTTGTAGTTTCCAAAGTTGCAATTCCAGTACACACTCAGAGACCTTTGCCTGCCAAACTAGCACAACATGGGAACTGAACCAAGCCCCATAATTCTATGGGGTGGACCAAGACCTGCAGCTGAGCTGAAACCATGACTCAAGGTTGCTTTAAGCAGCTATAGATGATGCTAGTTGGGGTATAAGTCAAGTCAGTTGGAGCTAATCTGCATCATCCCAAGACAAGAGTGTCAGTTTGTGTCTTCCTTTGAAGTTTTGAAGACTTCTCTTTAGCTGTGAAAGTCTTAGATACCAATTTCTTCCCATAGAATGTTGTTTTGTCTGCAATGAAAATGTATTAGTTAGTGTAATAATCTTCATCAAGGATGTTAGCTATATCTAGGTAACTTGATGCGGTTTCTACATCAGCACTTGTTGCTTCATGTTACACATTTTATGTTATGGAGATGACTTCTTTACTTAAACCTCATGAACCAGTCTCTATTATCTTCAACATTTTCTTCTGCAGCTTCCTCACTTCCCCCAGTCTTGATAGAACTGAAGAGAGCTAAGACCTTCCTTGTTCTGGATTTTTATCCTTGACTTAGATAATTTTTTCATTGATTCATTCTATGCATTGCTTCTCAGCCTTTTGGCTAAGATCAAGTGTAGTATCATTAAATCCATTTACCCATGTCCTAAGAATTTTTTTTATGATTCATATGTTTGGTGAACTAGTGCTTTTAATTTGCTTCAAGAATTTTTCCTTTGCATTCACAACTTAGCTGTATGGTGTAACAGGAGAAGCTTTTGGCACATCTCAGTTTTCTTTTTTTTCTTTCTTTTTCTTTTCTTTTTCTTTTTTTTTTTTTGACAGAGTTAGACAGAGAGAGAGACAGAGAGAAAGGTCTTCCTTCCATTGGTTCACCCCCAAAATGGCCACTATGGCTGGCGTGCTATGCCAATCTGAAGCCAGGAACTAGGTGCCTTCTTCTGGTCTCCCATGCGGGTGCAGGGCCCAAGCACTTGGGCCATCCTCCACTGCCCTCCCGGGCCACAGCAGAGAGCTGGCCTGGAAGAGGAGCAGCCAGGACAGAACCGGCGCCCCAAGCGGGACTAGAACCCGGAGTACCAGTGCCACAGGCGGAGGATTAGCCTAGTGAGCCATGGTGCCAGCCGGCACATCTCAATTTTCAACATAACTCTCTCACTAAAATTAATCATTTCTGATTTTTGGTCTAAAATGAGGAATATGCAACATTTCCTTTCACTTAAATTTTTACAGAGTATTAATTGGCCTACTATCAATATTGTTGTGTCTCAGAGAATAAAAAGAGCTGGCGGGGGGCGTTGGGAGGCAAAACATTCAGAATACACACGTTTATTGAAGAGTTTTATTGCCTCTTATGGGAGTAGTTCATGGCATCTCAACAACGATTACAACCATAACATCAAAGGTCACTAGTCATAGATCTCCATAACAGAAATAACAACAATGCAGAAGTTTGGAATATTGTGAGAATTACCATAATGTGACACACAGACATGAACTGAGCACATCACGTTGGGAAAATAGCACCAATAGACTTGCTCCATGCAGGGTTACTGCACATTTTCAATTTGTAAAAAAGCACAATGCCTATAAAGTACAATAAAGTAAAGCACAGTGAAGTAAGATATGCCTGTATGTGTATTTATTTAATACTTCTGCATAACATCTTACTACCAAGCTCAAAACAATACCCATTTACTATCTCATAGTTTTCAAGTCTGGATACGATGTAGATGATTTTACAAAGCTGAACTCAAGGTTTTGGCTGAACTCTTTTCTCAACTGGAACTCTGGATTCCCTCCCAGGCCTATTTAGATTAATGATAGGATTGGTTTTCTTACTGTAGGCATGAGGTCTTTGTCTTCTTGATTGCTGTCAGCTTGGAGATTACTCTCAGCTGCTGCGAGTCTCGCTCACCTCCTGGAAATGTGCTCCAAATGCACACAGGGGAATTCAGTTCTTCAAGATTAACAGAAGAATGTCTGCTGCTGCTTTTCTCTTTTAAAGGCTCACCTGATTAGGTCAGACCCACCCAGAACCTTCTCTCTATTCACTCATAGTCAACTGATTACCTATATTCTGGCTATATTCTAAGCTATATTCTTGCACATATCATAACATAATCATGGGGATATAAGCTCACCAAGTGACAAGTTCTTCTTACACTCCAGAGGAATGATTATCAAGGCATGTACTCTATAATGCAGAAATATTGGAGCCATCTTAGAATTCTGGTTAACATAGTGTACCTCTTCACTAAGATTAAATAAAAAGTGTCTATTACCATTAAAATAATCTGTAAATTCCATGCTATCCAAATTCCAGTTCCAATAGGCTTTTCATGGAATTTACTAAACTGATTTTAAATCCCATGCAGGGATTTAAAGAACAAAAGCAAAATCAAAACAACTTTGAAAAAGAAGAAAGACTTGTCCTCCCAGATATTAAAATATTTTAAAAATGTTATGGTAATCTAAATAATGTGCAGTGAAGAAGTTGTTAAATAAGTTGGGTAGTGTAATACTCCAAAACCAAATCAATGAATGGCTAGACATTTAATATATATTTGTGGTATTCTAACTCAAAAGGATTACCTAGTGTGTAGTTTTCTTAAAGAGAATAAAACTGATCATAAAAATATGGCTGTGGTACAGATAGTCTTGACTTAACTGGGCTGGTGATATGTGGTATCATACTCTGAAGGTGCCGGGTCATGAACTCCTGGGGAGTCACATGATCAGAAAAGTATAACCAATACTTTGTGGTATAACATGTTGCTAAGCTAAGGTGTTCTGTAGGTAGGTGTATTAAATTCAGCCTTGACTCAGAGTGTTTTCAACTTACAAAGGGTTTCATCAGGCATAACTGCACTGTAAGTTAAGGAGCATCTATATAATAAAAATGATGTATATTTGACCTTAGTTCTCTGTCTGGCACAGAGCTTCTAAAATTGGAATTCCCTGAGTGATAGGAGTGGTGTTTAGTTTACAGTTTTGTTTTGCTTTGCTTTGCTTTCTTGTGTCTTGTATGCCAATGAGGTGACTTGTGGCCAGGGTGTAGATAGCTTCAGGATAGAGGTAGTCACCAGGAAAATAAAAGCTAGTAAATAGAAGATTACAACCTTCAGCCCCACCCCTTGACTTCTGGGAACTGGAAGAGACGATTGCCTTTAATCACCAATAGCCAATCATTTAATCAATCATTTCTACCCAATGAAAACTTCATAAAAACTCTTGAAATGGACACTCAGGGATCTCCCAGTCTGGTGAATGCTGGTGTTCCTGCAGAGAGCATGAGAGCGCCACACCCACACTATACCTTATGCTATGTATCTCTTCAATTGGTGATGTCTGAGCTGTGTCTTCCTTTATAATACAGCTATAGTCATAAGTATCATGCTCTCCTGACTCCTGTCAGTTATTCTAGTAAGTCAGCAAGCCTGAGGGCAAGTGAGTTACGGGATTCCCTAAATTTGGAGCTGGCAGGGTAGAATTGTGAGTCGCCCATAGACCCCATTTGAAGCATCAGTAGAAATGACCCCTGAAACTGTGGGAACTGTGCTACCTCTTAGCAACATCAGAACTGAATTGAATGATAGGGTACTAGTTGGTGTTGGAGAATTGGTTTTTTGGTGGAAAGACCTAAGAACTGTTATCAGAAACTAGTTTGTAAAAAATTGTTATCAGAAACTAGTTTCTAGAGGAAAAAAATGTCAAATGGACACATGTGAAAAATTGTGCAAAATTATTGGTGTACAAAAAAAGGTAATCAGAATTGCTCCTATTGAAAGAATTACATGAGACTGCCACAAGCAGTACGCAGTGTGTTCATAGTTTCAGTCATTATGCAGTCTTCATCAAGTCTCATTGATGAGCACAGAGAACACCACTATCTGTTTGAGAGAAGTGGACCTAGAAACATATTTCTTTGGTTAAAATGACATCTTCTCACATGAAAGATAACTGATACACATTTATAAAGGAGTAAATCAGGACTTCTTAGCACTTAATAGCTGAAGAGCATTAAATATAAGGGGACTTCAAAAATTTCACAGAAAGATGGAATTAAATGGTTTATTTTGTTGTAAAAAGTGTTGAAATTCCTATTTAGTTTTTCATTATATATATTTCATTGACCTTTGAAAAATGTATTTTTTACATTTTTTGAGAGACAGGGAGAGGAAGAGAGAGGCATACTACAGATACGAGCTGGTTCACACCCCAAATGCCAAAATAGCCAGGCAGTCCAGGCCAAAACCAAGAGTCAGGATCTCAACCCAGGTCTCCCACATGGCTAGCGAGAATCAATCACCTAAACCTCCACCTGTGGCCTCCTAAGGTATGTTTTAGAAGGTAGGTGGAATTGGAAGCATAGCCAGGACTCAAACCCAGGCACTTAGATAGGAGACGCGGGTATCTCGACTGAGGTCTGCTAACTGCTGTGCCAAATGCCTGCCTCTTCATGAACTTTTTGAAGACATGTGGTTGGATGAAGAAAAGGAATAATTAGAATTAGGAAAAAAAGCAATTAATTAAAATATTGTGATATTTTATACATGTCTGGAATAAATAATGTATGTATATTCTTATATATTTATACATTTACACATGTTCACATGCATGCACATATTAAAGAATAACACTGGAAGGATTCCCAAGGGACAAGTTATGGTAGGTGGAGTTGGGAGGATGGGAAGCAACGGATGGAATGAGTAAAAGAGACAGGCTTTCCCCCTTTGCATATGCCTTTATGTTGCATTTTTTTTCTCTTTATTGTTGCTATGGTTTGACTGTTAGTTTGGGTGTCTCCCATGGGCTTATGTGTTAGGAGCTCGAGTCCCCAAGTCTCTTGTTAATTGATGAAGAATACAGAGAATTTAACTGTCTCTAAGACTAAGACAACTTAATTAGGGTGGCTGGAAGTGAGGTCTTGCTGGAAAGGAGACCCCATGATCAAATCATGCCGGCTTTTGAGAGAGAAACACAAAGACAGGGAGATTGAGCACACCTCCTCCGGGCCTGCTTCCTGGCACTCTGCGCCGCCCCTTCCTCTGCACATGTCAGCGTCCACGGCCCCCATCAGACAAATGAGGCTACCTGATCGTAGACTGTGAGCCCCCAAACCTTGAGTAAAATAAGTCTTTTCCTTTGCAAGTTCACAAAAGATGACTAATAACAGCCACCATGCAGGTGTTACTTTACAATTACATAAAGTAGAAATTGAAGCTGCATTGTGAGTCACATTCCACAAATAAGGAAAATGGAGTTCTAAGTAATTTAGAGCTTATTTATGAAGTCAAGATAGACAACTTCTCCAGCTCTCCTCTTATATTTCACTTTTGGGCGTATCAATCATAAATCAATCATATTAAAAGTCTGCAACATCAAGGAAAAATCATATTTTTTGGTAACATCTCTCCATGAATTTCTTATCTCTTCATGGGACATTAGGAGAGTTTAGGAGTCGTGGGACTATTCTCATTTGAGCAAGATGAAGAGAAAACAGCACCCCATCATCACATTGCACATGAGATGTTCACTGGCTTTTGTTCCAGTGTATGCAGTCTTACTTGAAAATTTTAAAGTGTATTTTAGTTACTTGAAAGACAGTGACAGAGATAAAGGGAAGACAGAAACAGAGGGAGATATTCCATTCTCTGGTTCAACCCCACTCACTCCCTTGCCCCCCCAACCTCCCTGGCCAAACGCCCTCAACTGCCTAGACTGGGCCACGCTGAAGGCAGGAATCATGAGCTCCATCTGGGTCTT